ATGTTTTATTTCTATGGTGAATATAACGGATGGTAACATGTTTTATTTCTATGGTGAATATAACGGATGGTAACATGTTTTATTTCTATGGTGAATATAACGGATGGTAACATGTTTTATTTCTATGGTGAATATAACGGATGGTAACATGTTTTATTTCTATGGTGAATATAACGGATGGTAACATGTTTTATTTCTATGGTGAATATAACGGATGGTAACATGTTTTATTTCTATGGTGAATATAACGGATGGTAACTTTAACGTTACTTACAAAATCGCTCTGTGATGATAAATACAAAACCCAAGTGTTTTAAGATTTTGACATAGTCTTATCAGTAAATCAATTAAACATATTTCGGATGTTTTATTACATTAATATTTCGAGGTACTTCGATAGGAATAAATTCATTAACATTAGGTATGAATTAATTAGTATTTTGTTTTCATAGTTCCATTCGGGATCCCGACTCTGGAACGACCTATTCGTGTTAACATGCCGGATATCACCAATAACGACTTGAATATCGCTGGTCGAGCTGGACAAACTGCCCTGACAGAGCTTCAAACTTTAGAAGAAGAGCTTAAACGATTAGGTACTGTTATCAGTAACACTAAGCTTAAAGAAGAGAGTTGCGCATGCTCTTCAGGTTAATCTGAGAAGAATAGTGTCGTTTGTTTTGGTGACACACACACACATACATATATGTATATATATAATAGTGTTTGTGTATAGGACTAACTGTATACACTCCACTACTGGGATTAAAGAGCCCCTCTCACAATTCACAGCGGCCTCATCGTACCGATCAAGCTCCTCCAACATCTCCAGTTCCTACCCGAAAATAACCCCATTATTTCAACGGAAGTTTGGTTTGAGGGAGGGGTTCGAGGACAAACACATTACATGTATTAATGTAGGATAAACCCTTATAGGATAATGACTCTTTGTTGGTCCCGAGTCTTTTGCAGAAGACATACAGGATGAATAACAAATTTTTAAACTATGACTTGAAGATGTTGACTACCAATTACGACCCTTTTGAAAACTTGTTCATAGTATAGCGAAATAGTTTACAACAGCACACTCAAATCAATGTATACCGATGAAAGTTCGGATGCTTTAGAGAAATAAATGATGTATTTTCTATTATTATTTGAATAACATCATAACTATGTCGGTAAAGTGCCAACTGTCTTAAGTGTCTGTTTAAACTATACATTCTATAGCGGCCAAAGTATCGAATAGAAGATCGGGGAACTTTCTCAATGCTCATGTTTCCATGATGTATGTAAATCTATTTTATATTGCTGCTTAAGACTAAAAAGATGATATATTTTAAGCCTGATAGTACTGTACTCGATATGTTTCTCAAAACAAAGCTTCATACCATTAATGATGGTATAACGTCACCACATGCAATGTATACTGTCACGTATAATAGCTTATACTATTGTTACGACAGCGGAAGTCGTGCGCGCTGGAGTTTCTAGAAGGATGGTGACTTAGCCGGCAACCTCACGAATGTTCTAGCGTTTGCTAGACGGTCATCTTTCTTTAGTGTATAAGCCGGAGATAGATTAAAGAGAAATAATTGAGATAATCGAGTCAAGCGAGCAGTAGACGCCGTAAGTAAAGTGTGTGAATCGCTGTGAATTATAGCGTGTGTTTATAAAAGTAGTTAGATTTAAAGTGACTGTGGAAATTAAGTGTATTACAAAGTTTGTAACGAGAAATAATAAACTAGATTTAATTAAGAAAGGGCTTGTATCGCTGAAGTTTCTCGGAAAGAATTTTTACGGGAAATTATCAAACAACCAGATACGTAACACTATTATATATCCTGTGTTGTTAAGTGCTCAAAAGAACTAAATGTAAATTTCATAGCATTAGAATCGCCCTTTTAACTCTTTCCCCCACCCCCTTGGCCCCTACACAACGTATTGTTTTGGCGGTTTCTATTGTTGGCATGTTTCTTCGGATTATTTAGTTTTTAAAAAAAATGCAGTTCAGTTCAATTTAGTTTTATTTCATTCTATTACAAGTTATACACGTTAATTGATGTTCATAGTAGTTACTAATTCAACAACTTGAAGCTACAGACATAAGGCTGAAAAAAAAAGGCATTATGGTCCTTTGCAGTTGGTTACATAGCTAAGCGTCATGCACTTAAGGATAGGAGTCGTTGATTAAGTTTTTAATTGTTTAATTCCTTCAGTAAGCTTGCGCCGGCGACTTTAACTTGCTTGCTGATTTTCCCCTATTTTTCTGTTTGCGTAGAAACAAACTTGGTACTAACAGCACTGAATTGAGTGACTAACAAACTCAATAATAACGGTACTGAATTGAGTGACTAACAAACTATGAAATATCTCACTACTTCACTTTCTGTTAGACTCAATCACTTATGTACTGTAGCTCTTTATTTGTTTAAACACTTTGAATATTTAGGAAACGTCATGTGTGTGTAATGTACGTAGTTTAGTAAATTTTTATTATTGATACTCGTATAAAAGACTCCAACTAACTATTTATATAAAAGCAATATTTGAAAATGTCTGAATTATAATTCGCGGGGTAGATTTGTTCTTTACAAAAATTCATTCGTTCTTTTGTTGTGAATCACCTGAACTAAGGCTCTAAAAACCCACGGAAAAGTATTAAGTACATTATTAATAACCTATTCTAACAATATTCAGTTTAAAGAATAATATTGCTGAAAAAAAAAACACCTGGAAATTGTATTTGAAAATCACTGATTTGTGATATATAGTTCTTTCATTATTAATGGAATGAAGTAAGAAACCCCATTTTTTGTTCTATATAGGCTTGGTTACAGAGAGAGGAACTTCAACGTTTATGCATCAGGCGTTTTTTGGAACTAAGGACATTACCCAGAAGCTAGGACGAGATGGATTCGTTGGTCTGAGAGCGTCTCAAGAGTTGGCTAAAAAGTAAAAACAATTTATCATTCAATACGGTAACACTTAATAGGCGGCATCGTTATGAAACAAAATGGCGGCCATAAAAAAATCTCTCGTTTTGAACTACCTTTTAAAATGTGAATATTAAAAGTGGCTACTTTCCAGTATAGGCTGTGTAAAACTGTACTGATGAAGCCACCTAAATCAAAATTTCACTATTGACGGATTTTTATCTAAGTAAATAAGTGACTTTCCAGACTAATATATAGAAAAAATTACAAACCTTATCTCTCAAATTCTTTCACAGATCTCTTCCGTCTGGGGTCCCAATGACTACAGTGATTTGCTAAAGTAGGGATATCATTTTTTAAATTCCATATAACAAAAAATGCAGCCTAGTTAACGAATGAATGAATGTAAAATTATCAATGGCATAAGTGTAGCTACCAGTCGCATGCTCAATTCTTTTTTTTTTTTTATACACTTCCGCACCTTTTTCTCACACCTGACGTGTGTTTTGATTAAATATCATGACTCTTTCTCAATACAGACTTTTTAACAAACCACAGTAAGTGAAGTGACACTCGATAGTAACTAACATTAGCTTTAGGAACGCAACACTCGTAACAGACCTATACTTTACAGAACCAAACAGATTCTTTAAAATATATGGAGGTAGTTTCTCCTCTAAAACGGCTATCTTTAATCCGAATGACAAGAAACTAAAAGCGATTCACTTTGTATTTTAGAAGAAACTGGTTGAAAATTTCAGGCCGATAGTTTGCGTGGACGTGCGCAAAAATTTGGGTCAAAATTAAGCCATTTGTTTAACTTTGCACTTGTGGATTATATTCAGACCAAATTTGACACCTAATTGTAGGGTATAAACAACTATTGGTGTAAAAGAAAACAAGAACAAAAAAACAAGTTAAGTGTCTGTTAATAATAACTATTTTGTTTTTTACAAATACGATCTTTTTGACCATTCCTATGCTGGACACTTAAAATAAATATTTCAAAAGCAGTCTTACCACGCAGCATTCAGGTAATAAAATTGTTTTTCAATTATTATTCTTTAATCGCAGGTAAGATTTGGGTGATAAAATCCTGAGTTGTACACTACTTTGCTATGTCGCCCTACATCTATATAATTAAGGCTTATTTATTCTCTTTCTAGCATTGTTTTTTAATGTCTGTAAATATCTTCTTTCCTGTGCGAACTTTTTTTAAGATACCAATATAGTGTTTTAATTCTGTAAGGTAGTATTGTTAGAATAACACAGTTATCGTGTTTTTGACCATTGAAAACTGTATTTAAGAATTCTCATTTGTCCTCTTGTAGCCAACGCCATATTTTCTTGTTATTTCTGGGCTAAACCGAACACGTTTTCTCGCGTATTATTACGTCCTGTGCCATGTAGTTTAATTTTTTTTATATATATTTACTTAGATTTCAACTGGATGCTACTCAAGGAAAAGACGGACTATCAAGCTTCAGTTTGCAGAACACTGTGGTAAACTCAGTTTGTCCAGTTATACCTCCTTGTCCATCCACAAAATACCGCTCTATAGACGGTAGCTGCAATAACCTGCAGAACCCCACCTGGGGCAAGTCTTTTACTGCCTTCGTCCGTCTGTTGCGACCACAATACGCTGATGGTAAGTAAGCTAAATTAGCTTCTCAAGTGAGAAGTATTGACATACCAGCTGGAATGCCCATCCCCTAGGCGGAAGTTATGTAAATCCATGATTAATGAAAGGTTATCTTGCGATATAAAGTTGCTTCCCTTATATGTATTCGTAAAAAAAAAAAACCTTAAAAAATACAAATCACTATGTGTAACCACAAGTTTGTATTTATCTCTGCATGGACCCAACAAACCTTCATACCATATTTGAAGATCTATCACCGGGGATCGAAATTGTGATTTAAAAAAAAAACATGCAAAAACGCTCATAACAACCGGAAGACTGATATTTTGTATTAGGTCGTCAAGAAATTAATGTCGATTTTTTTTTTTCTTAGATGAGAAAACCCGAACAACTTGTATATCAAAATATTTATTAAATCAAATAGTCTCCATTCTTATCGATGATACTTTTTCATCTTACAATCAGGTTGTTCATGCCCTGATTTAAAAAAAAAAATTACTTGGCTTTGAAGCAAAAAACATGTCCTCTTTAACACCTTCCATACGTGCATACGTTTTCCCATTAAGATGGTGTTGCAGCGAACGAAAAAGATGGTAATTTGATGGTGCCATATCTGGAGAATATGGTGGGTGATGGAGAACTTTCCAAACCAACTCCATAATCTTGTGTTGCGTCAAACGTGCTACACGTGGACGTACATTGTCGTGGAGAACACGTTTCCGATTGATGAGTGAAGGACATTTCTGATGAAGGGCTTGATTTAAATGTTCCTGTTGCTGACTAGATCTCTGCATTGACAGTTCACTGTGGATTGAGAAGTTCGAAATGAACTACTCCTTTAATGTCCCACCAAATGCAAAGCATCACTTTCTGCGGATTGATTCCAGGTTTTGTGGTCGGAAGTGGTTTTGTCTAGGACAGAGCCATTGTTTTTGGCGATTAATATTCGCATAGAGAATCCATTTTTCATCACCAGTGACAATTCTGTCCAAAAATAGTTTATGCGCATTACGCATGATGATCATCAGAGAGTTCATGAGGCACCCAAACACCTTTTTTATAGTTTCCCATATTCCTTAGATGTTTACGTATTGGTTCATGAGAGAGAAGCAATTTCAGCGCCATTTCACGAGTATGTTGTCTTGGGTTAGACTCAATAAGCGTCTTCAGATTATCAATTTCAACATGTCGGCCCCTACCATCACAGTTCTTAAGGCTACAGTCGCGTGAACGAAATTTGCTGAGCCATCGTTGACACTTATGAACGTTCAAAATATTTCCATAAACTTCATTGATATTTTTTGTGGCTACAGAGGCGTTGTTTCCCTTCTTATATTCAAACAGCATTACTTGCCGAATGCGTGTCTCTTCGTGTGCCATCATTATAAGGGATTAGAGTATACTAAACTTTACACATTATATAGGCTACACTAACGTTACGTTTAGGTGGTTCGTTTAACTGTTATACGTTATGTACGTTGTTTTGGGGGGGAGGGTTAATGAAAGTGTTCCAAAATGCTACATTAATTTCTTGACGACCAAATATGTACCCCCGCATGGACCCAATGAACCACCATACCAAGTTTGAAAATCCATCCGCACCCTGCAAAGTAGTTGCATGCACGTACAACAGACAGTACTATTATATTCATATAGATCCAACTCTTACATCCATAAAAGAGAAAAATACTTGTATTGTGCATGCGCATAAATGCTACAAACCACGCGCCGTCGAAACACTGCAGTATCTACACCATCGAACGCATAGAGTACGTCTTCTAAAAATAAGTCTGGCGCAAGTGGCATACATTTTAAAAAAATCGTCAAATATTAATAGTTTTAAAAGTCCGGTATAGTCACTGTATGTGGTGGGTAAGAAAGAAATGCATAACATCAGAAAGGAGATCACTAAGAACTCTGTTACGTCAAACAACTCGTCAGAAAATAAAGATCTTCAAAGTCGCTATTAGGGTAAAAACTATTAACGATCGGGTGTAGCTACTGATTAAAAATACCTATGAAATGAAAAGATAATAACTCCTGTTTAACCGATAAAGATCTTATTAACTTGCAGTCGCTCACAACCTTGCATTTTCACACAAAACGACATGAGTATTGATGGATTTACATTGGTAACATCAGAAAACTAAAACATTGAGGTTCAGAATAAAAATGCAATACACAACACCTAATAATACTGGTCATTAAAGGAGTTCCTGGTTTCTATATAGAACTACAGCTTCAGTAGAAATTAAGAGCTTTCAAGCCAAAGGTCAAGATCATGGTAATAAAACACTTACCCGCATAATATGTGTGTGTCCCAGTTCGAGCTACTGATGTGGCTGATTTCAACAGCCTTATCTAAATATTGCCCGAGGCCGCCTTCGCAACAAGTCGAATTAACATGTACATTTCTGGACCGCCCCCATCCTCCCATGGAAAAGCGTTCGTTATAAGAAACGCAAGTCATAACTAGGTCAAAAATGTACAAACTTTCAAGTAGGCTATATCTGCAGCGCCCACTTGCTTATCTGGTACGTTTTGATCTCCCCCCCCCCACCGTAGTGCACCTATCTATCAACCAAAATTTAATTCAAATAAAGCAACCTGGTTGGAATATGCATCCACATTGAATAACATATTACATGTATCAAACTCTGTTATAACAAGCGCCGCGAAACCGTCAAACAACTACAGAGTGCATCTTCAAGTCAGTAGAACTAACAATAGCAAAACACAAGCAGCACCCATACCACAATACTAAGTAATCGCATACACACATCATAAACATGATTGAGGAACGCCGCCAACTAAGAGTACTATATTGTTCGCTGGTTATTTATTTAGTAAAAGTAGAATAAATGTGGAGGGCACCTACTCGGAGTAATTTACTCCAGAGGCAGATGCCCCTGAGGGAGGAGTAGCTCGCCCCCATATTACTCATCATGTACGTAAAAAAAAAAAAAGACCCCAACTTTTGTTTTGACTTTCAATTCGCAGACCATGTGGCAATCTGAAAATTTCCCGACAGTCCTTTTATAGTTGCTATAAATAACTGAATATTTTCAAAAGCACAGAAACGAAATATAAATAAATGTTCCGAAAACACGGGTAGTTCTATACTCAACTTCAACCAAACCACGAATACACCAACCAGAGATGTATTTACATTGAGCCCTACTCTACAACTGCCACATCAGCAAAATTTTTAGGTATTCATGACTCAAAATTAACCTGGCAACCTCATATTAAGCAAATCGGTACCAAACTTTGGTGACGATCGAACTAAGTTAGATGTCTGTTGATATATAACTGGGGAACAACACCACAGAACATCATGATAAAAAAAATCTACAAATGATACATAGACTAATAGCTGAATATGCCTCTTCAGCATGGGTAAACATTTCATTTACACATGTAATACAAAATTAAGCAGTTCCAAAAATCAAAAGTTCAGTCTTCCTACATAAGTACTCCAGTTTATAGCCAACATATGACACTTAGATAGTTAGACCAAATATTTTTACAATAATCTCGACAAGAACGAATTATTACGTACTTTAGATCGCTGTATCATACATGACGAAACCATGCCCAAGTTCGTTTCCGCACTAATATCTACTGTAAGTATAGCAACATGTCCCTCTACTGCTAGACTTTAAGTTATATATCATTTGGATGGTTTATAATAAAAGTGAATATATTGCGATATATGGAACTGTTTACAATGGGTAGGACTATACACACCAAACTAAGAAGTAAATGCAATACTAGAACTATACACGCCAAACTAAGAAGTAAATGCAATACTAGAACTATACACGCCAAACTAAGAAGTAAATGCAATACTAGAACTATACACGCCAAACTAAGAAGTAAATGCAATACTAGAACTATACACGCCAAACTAAGAAGTAAATGCAATACCAGGACTATACACG